TCCAGCTCATTTTCAAATTCAATTTTTGTTTTGTCTAGTTCTCCTACCACACCCAATTGGATCCTGTTCTGTTTTCAGAGAGCTATCCCGCCGAATGGACAGGCAGACTCCCAAGGCCCTTTTTTGCAATGTTGTATGTGCCTGGCAAATCCACAGAAGGCGTTCCCACTGCCTTTTGCTCTTGCTGGCCTGAGCTGAGCCAAGCCAGACACAGGAAGGATCATTTCCTCAGGCCTAAAGTCTCCCTTCCTCACTTCCTCCAGACGTGACATGCAAGCTTTTGGATTTGAAGCTCTTCAGGCAGTGATTCTCAACCTCAGCAACTTTAAGATGTGTGGACTTCAATGCCCAGAATTCCCCAGGTAGCCTGCTGCTTGGGGAATTCTGGGAGTTGAAGTCCACAGATCTTAAAGTTGCTGAGGTTGAGAAACACTGTCTTAGGGGATCTCCTTTTCAGATGTCAATGCATGTAGCTTCACTTAACACTTTAGTTGTGAGCCAAAATGGCTGCATCTGGGAGCATTTTCTGTTTGTTCTGCTAAGAAGACGTGGACTTCGGCTTCAGCATTTTTTGTGATGGCCCCACTGTCCCTTGGGATTGTTCTGGTATTTGCTTTATTATTACAAGGTAATTGGTTGTGCCTTCTTCACACTTTCTTTTTTTATTTTACAGTGGGGCAAAAAAGTATTTAGTCAGCCACCAATTGTGCAAGTTCTCCCACTTAAAAAGATGAGAGAGGCCTGTAATTTTCATCATAGGTATACCTCAACTATGAGAGACAAAATGGGGGAAAAAATCCAGAAAATCACATTGTCTGATTTTTAAAGAATTTATTTGCAAATCATGGTGGAAAATAAGTATTTGGTCACCTACAAAGTATTTAGTCAGCCACCAATTGTGCAAGTTCTCCCACTTAAAAAGATGAGAGAGGCCTGTAATTTTCATCATAGGTATACCTCAACTATGAGAGACAAAATGGGGGAAAAAATCCAGAAAATCACATTGTCTGATTTTTAAAGAATTTATTTGCAAATCATGGTGGAAAATAAGTATTTGGTCACCTACAAAGTATTTAGTCAGCCACCAATTGTGCAAGTTCTCCCACTTAAAAAGATGAGAGAGGCCTGTAATTTTCATCATAGGTATACCTCAACTATGAGAGACAAAATGGGGGAAAAAATCCAGAAAATCACATTGTCTGATTTTTAAAGAATTTATTTGCAAATCATGGTGGAAAATAAGTATTTGGTCACCTACAAAGTATTTAGTCAGCCACCAATTGTGCAAGTTCTCCCACTTAAAAAGATGAGAGAGGCCTGTAATTTTCATCATAGGTATACCTCAACTATGAGAGACAAAATGGGGGAAAAAATCCAGAAAATCACATTGTCTGATTTTTAAAGAATTTATTTGCAAATCATGGTGGAAAATAAGTATTTGGTCACCTACAAAGTATTTAGTCAGCCACCAATTGTGCAAGTTCTCCCACTTAAAAAGATGAGAGAGGCCTGTAATTTTCATCATAGGTATACCTCAACTATGAGAGACAAAATGGGGGAAAAAATCCAGAAAATCACATTGTCTGATTTTTAAAGAATTTATTTGCAAATCATGGTGGAAAATAAGTATTTGGTCACCTACAAAGTATTTAGTCAGCCACCAATTGTGCAAGTTCTCCCACTTAAAAAGATGAGAGAGGCCTGTAATTTTCATCATAGGTATACCTCAACTATGAGAGACAAAATGGGGGAAAAAATCCAGAAAATCACATTGTCTGATTTTTAAAGAATTTATTTGCAAATCATGGTGGAAAATAAGTATTTGGTCACCTACTGCTCACCGTTCTTGTGATCATTTTGACCCCACGGGGTGAGATCTTGCAAATAAATTCTTTAAAAATCAGACAATGTGATTTTCTGGATTTTTTTTCTCATTTTGTCTCTCATAGTTGAGGTATACCTATGATGAAAATTACAGGCCTCTCTCATCTTTTTAAGTGGGAGAACTTGCACAATTGGTGGCTGACTAAATACTTTTTTGCCCCACTGTATATAAATATCTTATAATTTTCTATGCAATTCCACCTGACTCTGTCTTCCCCAAACATGAATAATACACTTAAAAATAAACAATCTTTAGTAAAGACTCTTTGTTTAATGAGATGTTCCATAAATAGCAACATTATTTGAGATTCAGTATTATATGCATGTTTGTGTGTGTGTGTATATAAAAACAAACATATAAACAAATATATATTTATATATTTTAACAAATATATAAGATTTGTTTAAAATAAATTGATCTTAGAATATGCTTTGATATTCAGTACTTGAATATTTTCACTTCACTGAGGCATGTAAAAAACCGTAAACTGTCCAGTAATTCAAAGTCAGAAGAATATTTGCAAGTTCTTTCAGAGCTTTTAACTGAAAAAGGACATGTTTCCCAATTACCCAAGCATAAAGGTGCAATGTCTTTTAACCCAATGTGTATAATTAACTTCAAAAAAATAGTTCTGCTCCAGATACTGCACCAGTTAAAGTACTGTAGTCAGAATGCAGAACAAGTTGAGAACAATCTCAGAGTGTGTCTGCTCAAGTCCTCCTAGCAACCAGTGACCCAGTCACCACTACATACATAACCACAACAAGACAATTTTTTTATAGTTAATCAATCAGGGTAGTTTTAAAAGAACTTATTTCACACTACTGTTCTTGCTAGTGCAAAAATAAAGGATACATTTTATTTTGTTCCATCAATAAATAAAATCATCAATAGATAAAACTTTAATAATCCCAAGGCAACATATGGAATATTTACATAAAGAAAGGGTAAATTCTTGTTAGCTTTTCCTCTAAGTTGGTTTTATTGGCCTATTCTGGGATTTAACTGCAACTTATTTGGATTTTAGCATTGGTTACCCAGTTGTTTCAATTATAGTTTATAAATTTTATTGTTTACTGTTTTACTATTTTATGGTGTTTACTGTATTGGGTGTTACTTTTGTAAGTCACCCTGGGAAGGCTCTTGTCTTTAAAGATGTCCTTGAAATATTTTAAATAAAGAAATGTCTTCTTGTGGAGACCAGAGAGAGCATTCTACAACGCAGCAACTATCCACCTGCCTTGCCCTAGCACTCCCCATGTGTCCGTCTGTCTGCTATTCACCTAAGGCTCCAACACGGTCTGCAGGGGGGCAAAACTTTCCAATTTTCTTTCTTACCACTGAAATTGTATACTATTAACAACCTTAAATGATTGACAACAGAGTTCAGTGGGAATTAGACATAAACTGAACAAGGTTCCTTAATAAAGCCACAGTGAAAAAATGGTTTAAAATACTTCCTCCTTTCTTGACAGAAATGAATACATTACTCCCAATCCAAGGAATTGTGGAAGTGATTCTAGAGTGCAGCTCTTACAGCACAAAAGGAGGTAAACTTAGCAAATGGGCTGCTCAATGAAAATCCCCTGGAGTGAAGAACAGCTAGAAGTTACAGTAGTTTTAGTTTGTTTGAAGCAGATCATCCTTGTGTGAAAATATAACGACTGGATCTTGGTGGCAGAAATCCAGAGAACCACTGCATGGAAGCAGAGACACAAAAAAAAAACCCTAATACGTTGCTACCATCTAGTGGTTGCTTGGATTTCTGCAGGGCAGATCTGGTACTCTTTATTGTACAGCTTCTAAAACTTCAGGCAGCTTTTCCCAGCCTAGTATGCTCCATATACTGTATATTTTGAACTACAAATCCCATCACTGGCTACAATGTCTGTATTGATGGGAGCAAAAATCCTCAACAGTTAGAAGGTACACAATTAGGAAAGAATGGCTTAGTAGGTACATACCTTTGAGGCCCAGCCTAGTAGCCAAAGACAAAAAAATCACAGGGCTCTTTCCAACAGCCAGTTTTTCCATCTCCCAAATAAATAGAAATAAATGTCTAACATTCCAGCTCCACATCCTTTTCTGGATCACCGTAGCCCTAATTGTGCTGCATTCACTCATCCTAGGTCCATGAGTGCAGTTTATCTAGCTCTCTTGTGTCTTTTTGGAATGTGCACATAGCTTAGATTGTCCTTGCCTATGTTAATCTTTGTACTCTAATAATCCTATGTGAGTCAAGAAGGGAGAAGTTACCTTATGCTGAATAACAACAGTATCCCACTTCATCTATCTATATCAATTTTCCCGTTTTTCAGATGGGAAACTTTTCAGATTCCAGGGATGGGATTTCAGAGTTCTAGATGTAAAGCATGCTCTAATAATACTGTGTTATAGTCCATTCCCTCAAATCATGCGGCTCATCGTGAGATTCTCTGGATTTAAAGACATCCATTGCAACTTTGCACTACTTGTCCATTTTAACACATTGACCCTGTTCACGTGACATGCTTAAATGGATAGGGAGGAAGGGTTAGGTTGTCCTGAAATTACTCTATTTCTTTATTTCACAATTTTGCAACACTGATTTTTTTTCAGCAGTTTTGTAGAGGCATGGTAAATGCAGTTAGTTGTAAGCTAGATACCCACTAATCTTGCATGAATCCATTACAATCTTTTTTAGAGAGTATCTCTTGTTAGGTTTTTAAAAGATTTTTGCAAGGGGACCTGAGTCTTATTCATGGTCTGCCATTGCAACAGCTCATTTTGCATTATTTATCTGGCTATTTTAATGGTTTGCATTATTCTAGTTTACCAGCACACAGATAATTGCTACTTTCATCAAAGTTGGATTCTATATTGTGTCCCAGCCTCTGCATATATGTGGGCCTCTGTGGTGTGTGTGTATTAAACCACTAACTTCAGCAGATGCAAAAATAATAATAAATAAATCCTGATGCTATAATATAAATGATCAAGCCCAATGAAATGTGAATTTAGAAGGCAGACCAGGATGCTCACAGCCACATATGAAGGTAAAAAAAAGATAATGGGCAAAGGTAATTTATTTTATTCATAGGCTATTTTCTCCAAATTCTCAAGAGCCAGAAAAAAATTACATGTTGCAGCTCATGGTCAAATAAAGGATTTCTTTATGAAAATTTGCTTGTGCATTAACCAGGTGAAACAGGTTTAAAAAGCTGCTGTCTTCTTCATCATGCTCTCCTAAGCAAAATAAACAACAGGTTGAACAAAACCCATTTTTATTTGAAATATAGATGTTGTGTAACTTATAAAATCTCAAGCCAATGGATAATATTTTATTTCACCAACATATCTTCCTAAATCACCAGGAGTCGAGCTTGACTCAAGAGAACCTTTACCTTATGTATTATTGACTTGTTATTAAACGTGGACCATGCTTACTCCTCTTGGGAGTGTTTTTTTTTTTTAATTAGTTATGATCTGATTCTATTTCTTAGACTACATGGGTTGTA